ACCTTAAAATGGTACAGTGGTCTCCCAGGAACTGTGAATGCAGTCTTACCTTTCGACGATTCCTCTAGCGGTATCTGCCAGAATGCGTCTTTCAAATCAAGACTGGTGATAAATTCGGCCCTAGGCAAGCGGCTCAATATACCCTCAATGTGTGGAAGTGGATAAGCATTCCCTTCAGTAACACCATTGAGTTTCCGACTATCCAGGCATAACCGGTTTTTACCTGGTTTCCTATGTAGAACAACCGGCGAAGACCAAGGACTTGTGGACTCCTCTATCACACCCATAGCTAGCATGCGGTCAAGTTCTGTGTATATCAGTTTTTCGATCGCTGGTGAAACAGGGAAATGACGTTGCTTAATGGGGGCGGCTTTACCCGTGTTTATGATATGAGAAATAAGGTTTGTTTTCCCCAAACCCTCCTTCGCGAAAGAAGGAAACTGGTCTATGACCACTTGAAGCTGAAATTTTTGATCCTTGGTTAGAGTTTTTTGATTCAAAGAACTATCACTAGTATCAGGTATATCGAGACTTGCTATGTTGTGGAGAAGTGACGATGGCAGTAATTCAAAATTTTTCCAAAAATCAACCCCTAGAATAAGATTCTGAGAAAGATTGGGAACTATATATAATGTAATTGGGATATTTTTACCTCTGAAAGCTATATCAGTAGTAAACATCCCAGCTATGCGCTGTGGTTTCCCATCTGCTGTGTTTACGGTGGTATTCAACTTCTTATATGGTTGGTTTGTCAACAAAAAATCTTTTGCAGCTTGCGACCCTAAGCATGACACAGTGGCACCGGTATCCAAAAGACCTATCATATGCCTATCCAGAAAACGCACGTCAGCATAAGGACGAACATCTCCCGATCTTTCAATTACAGAAACCGTAAAATTCCTTTTCAGTTCCTTCACCTCTTTCCAAAATTGTTTCATTCTCTTGGAAGATCGAGATATTTTAGGTTCCTCACTGAAGATCCTTTCCCTAAGCTTCAGGTAGTTTTCTAAACGCACATGGAAAGGTATTATTGGACGAGGTCCCGCATGTACTCGAGGAGCCATTTCACCTACGCTGGCATAGTTTTCAACATTTCCATTCAAATCTCGTAACTCATTATTATAACATTCCAGATTAAATTCATTATTTTCATTACAATTATCATTTAAAGAGAAAGCAGGACGACTTTTAATTCTTAAATTGTTTGGGAGGACTGCTGGCAAGTTTTGGGTCTGAGTGCACTCTTCGGTGCAGAGCTCTGGAAGTTTTTTGAAACATTGTTACATTTGGTGCAATTTGGTTTGTACACCTGAGGGGTACCGCACCCATAACAGAATACAGAGCGGTCCGCCATGCACTCCTGGTATCTATGCCCCGATTTTCTGCAATTCCAACAAATCGTTGAGACTTCAGAAACTTCTTCATACTCCAGTAACTCTGGCTCATTGGGGATAGAAAATTCAACTTCAGCAACTCTTCTGGAAATATTATTAGGTCTAGCATTAGAAAAAGCATGTCTTCGATTTAAGTCTTGCAAAAAAAATTCTCTACGCCGACAAATCTCTCGCAACTGACCCACGGAAGATATAGACATGTTCAAAATTTCATGTTGTATGTCCGGCAATAAATTACGGCGTAAAATTTCAACCAATGTCTTGTCCTCTAACGGCTTATCTAGTCGATCTACAAGATCTATAATTGCCTCATAAAAAGCATCAAATGGCTCGTTGGGTTTCTGTTTTCTATCTCGAATAAGTTCCCTGAAATCTATATCGGTCCTTGAATCCCTATACTGTTGACGCAAGGCCTTACAGAGATCAGCCCAATGCACAACGCAAACAGTACGATGGAACCTCCAAAACCAATCACTTGCCTTACCATCGAAAAGTGCACTAGCACTCCGGCACAGCGTTTCAAAATCGCCATTTAGGGTTTGCTTTGTGAGAGCCTCCACCCGGTATATAAAATTATCCACGGGTAAACTGCTGGAACTTCCGTTAAACTTTATCTTCCAGTTGGATATGATTTGGCCAACCTTATCTGGTCGAGAAGCCAAATCCGTAAAAGATACAGGATTGCTAAATCGTGACCTATTTAAAGAGTTACCATCGATGTTAAGTGCACCATAGCCATTATTCGCTCGTTCATTACTAGTTGAAGGCAAACCTAGCAACTGCTCCAAGGTTCGTTGCTCTACATCGGACACATTTGGCATTGTAGGGTTATTATTTGCAACTGGGGATGAGGCGCTAACAGTTTGCGGGACCTGATTAATATTCAATCGTGATAGACTAGCTTCAACACTTTTTTCCACCAAGGAAGCAATCTGAGTAGAAAGGGATTGGACAATTTGGGCTTGTTGGCTACTAACTAGCGAGGCCACCACTTCCTTGATACTGTCAATAGTTAAATTTGTCTGAGCATTTGAAGTAACAAGCGAATTTGAAGCTGTTTCCTGACCAAGTGACTCTTCGGTTCTATTGGCATCGAAATTTTTGGCTTTCGAAGAGGATCTTGTAGTCACCGACGAGGCAGGTTTCTGGGTAACCGAAGAGTTAGTTTGTTTTACATCTTTTATGATTCTGAATTTACATACTGGACAATCTGAATGGTTCTTGATATAGTTGTTTATGCAAATCTTGTGAAAAGAATGTCTGCACACCGTTTCTGACAACACCGAAGGAGTCTGAATCGCCGAATTACAAATGGTGCAAAACGGAGAGTTAGCAACTATACCAGGACCAGCTGGCTGTGTATCACCTGTACTTCTATCAAGGGGCATCGCTAACGCAAACAGTATCTCAAATCAGGCCAATATCAGAAGATTTTAATTAATCAAAAAATAACATTCGAACTACTCGTTCGACAAAAAAAAAATATAATCGGAGGTAGGAAAAAAATAAATTTTCAGTAACTGCGTTTTATTCATCAGGTATTCGGAAATAGTAATGTAGGGTATAATAGTAGAATATAAAATCAGTCAACAAATGAAAACGGACTAGAGAGAAAATTTATAATGACAGACGAATACTGTGGTAAAAAACATAATCGATAATATTTTTTTAATTCCATACAGTAAGGTGGAGAGAAAGGCAAAAATCTCACTCAAGCCAAAAATCGATGTCAGAATTAGGATTTACCCAAAATCTGAATTCAATCAATCCCAAAGCTAGAGGGAAATTCCTACAGGAGAGTGAATAACAGAATAACAAATTTCCTGGTGTTATGATTTAGCACTACTGCTTTCAAATCATAAAAATTCCAAAGAAACTTCATTATCCTGACTTAGAAGATTAATAACAAAAAGAGAAAAGTAATAGAACATAAGAGATCAGATGAAGTTAAATTAAAAAGAAAAAAGAACCCAAGTGAATAATTCTACGATATTCAAAATACCAAGATGATTTGAAGAAATTATAACTGTTTATAAAATTCACTCGGGCCCCACGTTGGGCGCCAATAACTGTAGTATGCATCGGTGTAATTTATTAAAAATAGGCTTCAAATGTTTTTATGATGAACATCTTGGTCTGGCACGCAAATATCACCAGCCTTATTGCTCGTCGAATGGGGGGGGATCTTTCCATAGTCCATCAATGTGAATACCAACTACCAGTTATTTTTTTTTTGCGTGCACAATTCAGGAAAATTATAGAAAAGACGAGAAGAAATGAGAAACTTTCGGAACGATTAGAAATAGCACCGATAACCCATAACTCCTAGAAAAATAGACAGAAAATCCGTTTCATCTATGACGATTGGACTATGCTAAGATGCTGTCAGCATAGTGAGCCCACCCTTCCTGTTTACCGTATAAATTCCGTATTCCAAATAAAAATCTTTGTTTGATAAACCCATATTCATACCCCTACTTTACTTTTCTGAACCCTTTAAATCAAACCTTTTTAACTCAATTCAAAACATGTTTATAACAAATATCAGATTTATTGAATACAATTTCATATTACCCTAGCAAAATTAAAAATTTACAAATTTCAAAGCATCTTACAAAAACTATATAAAATGTTGGACTAATACCTCAGGAAAAATTAAAAATGACCAAATTAATTATAAAGGAACATCATTTATGTATTAACTAAGGAAAATCGAAAACTATCTATGCCAATTTTCTCAAAAACTAACACCTATTTTTTTTTTTTAATTAAGTGATTCAATGGTAATTTAAAAATAAAATTGAGATAAATATAGTTTTCTGAGAAGAATATTTTATAAATTTAAATAATATTCAATTATTATTAATGGTAAAAATATAGAAATGTTGGTTGTGAAACAGTTGCTTAAAAAAATTTAAATATGGTTATGTATATCAACTTGCATGTAAATAGTAGGTACGTTCATTATTTCAGTATATTGCATTGTTACAAAAAAAAAAAAACGTTCAGCTGTTTCGTACATTGACCTCTTTTTCAATTGTTCACTAACACACTCAAAGGCTTTGTTCATCAAGAATTTTACATTAAAATTTTTGGTGCAGTGTTTGATCGATTTGGTCGATAAAATTTTATAAAATGCACATACCAAATAATAAAACAATGTATTAAACTGATAGCAGGATGGATGTGTGGCTAAAGTAATTAAAATCTTCGAAAAAATTAATAACCACAATGGTCTGCAATTCACCCATACAAGAAAGCAGAGCTTTTCAAACTGTATTTTCTCAGTGAGCGATTTAACAGAGGATACTGGATTTAACATAGATCTGTCTGTTAAACTAGCTCACACAATTACACATCCATCCAGCTAGTACAGCACTGTATATGATCGCCGGACATGAATATGAGCAAATACAAACCAGAAAATACTTGTAAATCTCTTCCCAAAAACCAGGATTTTTTTTTTTAATATTTTCACAATTAATAAAGTTGGAAAAGAATTTGCCACTTCGGTTTATATGAGAGAGAACTAACGGTCAACTCAAATGTGGAACCTATTTGTATTTGCTCTATGCATGTCTACCTGTATGCAATGTTATCACTTACTTTTTTGGTTTGCTGGAGCTCCCACGATGAAAGGCCTTTCAGGGGGGTGAGGTTGATAAGATTTAATCCCCAACTCCAACGAATATGCGTGTTTTAGGGTAATATACGATGGCTGCTGGATAATGCTGATGGACTTAACACTGTTTTAGTTCACTTGGCATGAGTTTTTTTTTAGATTTAAATTTAAGGTTTTATCAAAATTTTAATTTGCAAGAGTTGACCACAAAGTCTTACACAACAACAATAGTCTTACGTTCTTTTATCTGTTTCACTTCCAACTGTTTCCAGTAATTACCACGTACAAACACATTTAGGCAAATGCAATGAAATTGATAATTACATTTAACAAAAAGATTCTTAATATTTTTTATGAAAATTAACACAACTTGAGGTGGATTTTTGTGCTCGTTTTAAAAAAGATAATTTATAGGAAACTTTTACGCAATTTTAATGATATTTTTAAACACTTGCGATTATCATCGCGAACAGCTCCGAAAATCACAAGAATCGCCGTCAACTGAGTCTAGTTTATCACCCGATGGAATACAAGCAACTGTTTGGGATAGGTCTTGCATATGTTGCTCTTGTAATAACCACCTTTTGGTTTGTAGGGGTTAGTAAATCGAATCAAAGGAAATCCAAGAGAATATTTTATTCTTGTCGAAAAATCAGAACAAATTGACGGAAAAAAATTAGCTCCGAAAATCAAAAGGAGCAACCCAACCAATATGATCGCTGGCAAATGTCTAGGTTTGAGTAGCTCTTACCACAGAAAATCCAAGCCAAAATTTTGAATTGAGCTTCCACTTCAAGCAAAATTTTCAAAGGACACCAACAGTTTGATCCTTGTTACAGACAAAATCCTTTACGCAATACCTTTGATGAGCGGGTATAATTTCTGGGTGCTCACAATTGAAAAGGCAGAAGTGACTGATCAAGATGTCTGCCTTGTCACTGGCTTTTCTAACCTCGGCTAATTCAATTAGGTAAATAGCTGAATCACTTATACCACAAAAAAACTCCCAGAATTAAAAATGGCTCCAGCAAATTTTACTGCCATATTCAATGATTTTGTCTTTTGTGCATGTATTTACTTAACGAATAAAAACTACGTTAAAAGAGAATATAAGTTTTCACCACATTTGCAAAGGGGAAGATATGGTGAAACACCTCCGACACTAAATTCGCCGGACATATTTCTCCCTACCCGAAATAAGTGTTGTTAAAAATCGTTGTAATTTCAGGTTTATATTTCACCAAAACAATAAGAGTTAATAAAAAAAATATTTCCCAATAAAAAAAAAACTCAACCGAACTAGGGATTGAACCTGGGTGTCCTGTCCACGAGTCTACAATGATCACCACTGGGCTACTGTGATCCTGAAGTATCTAGCGATTCAACGCTTATAGTACTGTATGAGCCATGTAACTATGTTACACGTATTCCTTACGGTAAAAGAAGAAAAATGAAGAGTCGAACAATTACAGAATTCTAAAAATAGAACAACATCCATTGCTGTGGAATACAATATAGTGGAATGTAATTATTTGACAGTGGAACAGATCCACGTGTAATCTGGGTTGTCAAACCTTACTTTCTCGAGGTGCCAAATGAAATAATAATAGAATCAATCCAAACAAAAAAATCTACATGCCCACTATACACAAGATCTGTTGTGAAGAGCCCCCTCTGGTACCTCACCCAAAAAGGGTCACAATTTTCAATACTTTTTCTGTCATAACTTAAGAAACAAGTCAGCGATTCTTTACAATTGGCTATGTCCGAATATTTCTCTCAATCAGAAACTTGCGTTGAATATGGATTTTATGATGAAGTTACCAATATAGACAGAACCCGTCACGCCGCAACATTTATACCGTATTTATTTAGGTCTGGTATGAAATGGACAACCCACTCCATAGAGGGGTAAGAGTTTGCATAATCATAACAGCTGTCAAAATACGACTGATACTTTTGAACTTGTTACATTTGATTTATACATTTCCATATTTGAAAATTGTTGCAGAAATTATATATAACAATTGTGTATGGCTTTGGCCGCTAATCGATAACATTAGATGTGATTAAAGCTATTGGTATGTTGATTGCTACGGCACACCTAATTGAACCTTTAGAGGTTTCATCGAAATTCTTGCTTAGAACATGACACCGGTTAATGAGTTTGCTCTCAAAACAACGGATAATTGGCCAGGGAATTTAAATCGGTCATTAATCGGGCTTTAGGTAACAACTTAAATGCATTTAAATAACAAACTTCTGAAAATTGCAAGGTATATTCTACGAGGTATGTGAGTATGACCTGAAAAAAATATATATTAAAAAATGTATTAAAAAGTATCAAATAATCTTACATTTAGTTTCAATCATAATAGTTAATTTAAACTAGCAAGATTGAAAGTAACTTCTCTTTTGGTGCAGTTTGGAAGGACTTTAATGAATATCCTCATCGGTAACTACCATTTACCATAGGTTTACGCAGTTCTCATGGATAACTATTGCATCATATTCTAGAGAACTGCCAGTTATTTAGGCACAGTTTTAAAACCCAAATTGATTGCCATGCTCATTCAGATTACTGGTCATCATGTCAGCCTGTTTTAACTATAGTGGACTCTCCTCGAAGGCATCATTTTGACATAGTTGTAAACGTTTGTCATTTTGGGGCCGCTAATCAGATTCCTTTGAGTCCATCCAGTTGAGTCCTTAACAAAATAATTTAAAAAAATCTTTAGAGAAAAATAGAACATGTTTTGTTTTTTATTTGATAATAAACAACTTGTTACATTTGTTTTGACAGAAATTATGACATTACAATCCATACAGGTAGGCATCTTTAATTGCTAATCTTCATTGTAGCATGCTACAATCCAATCATCATAAAATGATACAGGTAGCCGCATCGACACACGGCAATTAACTGCCAATGTTTTTTGAAATTAAAAATATTGAATGAAAAATTACTCAAAGAACCTCTGAAATATTTAAATATTTTGGACATATCAATGTTCACAAATGTTGATGCATCGACCTGTATTCTTCTACCATGAAAACAATATTGGAAACATGAGACGATGCGGAAAAATGAAACGAAAAAATTTCTGAAACATTGTAGTGCGTCTTTTTTCAATAAGAAAAGTGATGCCAAATTTAATAAATGGCATTGCATAGATATTCCAATATGATTTCAAATACAAATGTTATACATTTTAATATCGTTAAATACACGCTATAAAATTAACTATTCTTAAACTTGATATTCGTTTGTAATTATTTATTTGTATATAATTTAACAAACTTCAATGCAATACTGTGCAAAACGTTGCAAACTGTACTGGAAAGGGAAAACGGGATGGAAAGGAATGGACCACATGATCTACGACGATTTCGTTTGGTAAATATGAAACGAAGCGAATTTTTGAATATGAAAAAATTCCACTTGTATTTGAGTTTTGATAAACAACGCATGTTTTTCCCAAGTTATGCAAAAAATAAAAATCTAAAATGTTGAAGTGCTTCATTATTTCTTTAAAAGAATTGTTAAAAAGTTATAAATTCTTAGACCAACTAACATATTTTTATAGCGATGAACGTGGTCATTTTCAAAATATAATTGACAAAGTAAATGAAGTTACTAATGTTGCAAAATACCGGCGACTTAAAAATAACAAAAGAAATCGCCAAAGAATCGCATACTAGGCGAATCAATTACTTGAAAAAGGCAAACAAAAAGATTCATTGGGTAAGAAAAATGTCGCTCAACATATTACCAGTGGTAGATGATGCAGATACCAGAGAAGCCCTACAGACACCAGTTGATTCTGTGAAAGAATGTTCTCCTATGGAAGGCATTGCTTTAGAGCGCTAATCTGAAATTCATCCTGGTGATGAAATGTGCCGTGAAAAAATTGTGTCGCCAAACGTATTACCAATGGCAGAAAGTACGGCTATTGAATAATGCCTCAGTTCAGATGGTTCAGATACCAGAGAAGTCCTAGAGACATCAGTCGATTCTGTGCAAGAATGGCCTCTTATGGAAGATAATACCTTGGAGCTGAAATCTGACGTTCATCCTGGTAATAAAATGTGCCACATTATGGAGGAGCACAATTATGGAGGAGCACAAAAATGGAAGATAACTCTTTCAGTGACAACCAAAGCATATTTGAATATCCCATTAAATCGATTGAAGTCATCGAGGTGTCGGAAGTTCAATTAGAAACTATGTTGATAGTGGAAGACAGCCAAAATACGATTGATAAAGAAAATGAATCGGAATTTCCAGAAAGCAAAAATGATTTTACTATTAACATAGTAAGTATCCATTGTATTAAAACAGGAATACAATTTAGTAATTACTATTTTTAAATGTGTTTCAGATCTAAAAGAAAAAAATTATATTCTGATGACATCACAATTTCAAATACTTACTTTTCTAGAAATGTCCAAAATATTTATAACGATGCATTCGTTTTTCAGAGTTATATTCTTAGCAGTGACGAGCTAAACGGTACACCCGAGGAAGATTTCCGTGTGGATTTGTTAAAGAAGTACCGAAAGTCCGCAAGTCCTAATAAAAAACCCAACAGGAGTGTACGTTTGGTAAAACGTTTATCTGCGGATAAAGAGAGAAGAAAAATTACATTCAAAGATTGTAAGTTTTTCGATTGCGAATTTTCGAATGATACTTTTAGTCAAAAGAAACTTTTGCAAGATTTCCTTCGAGTAACATACGAGGCATCCAATAACGTGTGTGACATTAATATACGATCTAGTAGGTTTAACAGTGATGGCAACATATTCGTAGCATATGCTTATTGTAACGATGAAGCTTGTTGTACGTTCGTACTGAAATTATTCCTGGAAAATGAGACTTGCAAAGTGTTTCGGTCCAAAAAAGAACTTCAACACCAAATTGGCTTGCACAAATATTGTCAAGTTAGGGGTCCGAAACGACAACTGATTAAAACAGAACTATTTAATAAAAAGGCAATATTGTATAAGAAAAAGGTAATCAATCAGCAGTCAAAATTTTTACGTTTCGTTGGAAAACAGCAAAATTTAAGGTCTCTATCTACAAATTCGATCTGAAGCCAAGGCCCACTTTGATTATGATGTGCATCCATTTATAAGCACATTCATTATGAGTGAAACAAATTATAGATATTTTATACAGTATTTAGCTACTCCACTAAAAGTTTTTTTATTTAATTTAGAGAGAATGGAAATGTTATTCAAATTTGAGGCCTTGTTGCTAGAAAAAGCAAATTATACTCTTCGGATTGACGCCACAGGCAGCGTTGTGGAACCCTTAAAATGCCCAAATAAACGAATCTTTCTATATTCAATTATTGCACATATAACAGAATGTAAAAAGATACTGCCAATTGCTGATGCTATTTTGTGCAATCACACAAGTTTTGAAATTGCCTCTTTTTTACATTTTTTAAAAGATAAATGCCAAGCCCATAAATTGAGATGGCCATTATGCAAAAGAGTAGTAACGGATTGCAGCTATGCGATTATTAATGCTATTCTAGCCGAATTTAATGGAATGGGAAACATTTATCAATACTTAATAAAATGTAAACAAGTTTTGAATGGTAATGCTGCGCAGCAGATAGATTTCGTGACAATACAATTTTGCACTAACCACTACACTAAAATTATATGTAAAGACATTGATGAACAAGTTTCTCTAAATAATGTAAAATTAAGAGAATTTCTGCGAGAAGCAATGGGGTTAGCATTTAACTTTACTTCGTTGAATGAATGCAAACAATGGTTCGAAATGTTGTCCACAATATTAAGTGGTAGATTTTTCAATGAGAATGTTGGAAAAGCTGTAGAGGAATTTATACGCTTTGTAAAGACGCCTATTGAAGAATATATTTTTGATGAAAATATTGGAAAGAAATATTTAGAAGAAATTGTAGAGAATACACTACAAGAAATTTCAAGTGCAAGTCCTTTCACAAAAGAGTTTCAGGATATATTAACAAGGGTACAATCCTTGGAAATATATGATGAAGATGGACAACCAAATCCATATTACCATCCCAAAATTCTCAATTTCATACTAAAAAAGTATATCGCATTCCTACCATGTTGGACAAATATTATGGGATGTTTTATATCTAAAAAAACCCAATCGTGTTAGTAATGGGCCAATAGAAGCTCATTACAAAAATTTGAAAAATTTGGTTTTGGAGGATCAAAAGAACAAACTCGGGCGCTTCGTGAGGCAATTCGATAAATATTACCTTTCACTAGCCACTGATATTGATATAACATTCCTATACGATAAGTTGTATGAATCCGTAGCAGTTGGAACAAAGGTCAATGCTTCTAAAAAGAATAAAAAACCCAGCAAGTCAAACGTTTTTGGAAGAGAACATAATAAAGACCTGAAAATGGTTACAGAAAGCTGGAATAAAAAAAAACGCAAATCCCGCCTATCACAGCCTATGTTTTCGCAGGAATTTTCAGGATTGCAGAAACTTGCTACGACAGTTGAAACCTTAAAGTGTAGTCGTGAATTTATTGACCACGATCATGGAGTCTATACCCAAAAAAATACATACAATCCGTACAAATTGTATTCAGAAAATACACTAAAACAATTTGATTTGGACAGAATATTTGTATGTAATTTGAAAACACTATATGATAAATATTTCGTAGGTAGACCTTTTGGCGACAATATTATTTCTCTTTTTGATTTGGAAACACTTAGACCAAAACAGTGGATACGCAATAATATTGTAAATGCCGGAATTGTCATTCTTTTAGATGAAAACAAATGTACCTACAAAGCACTCCCCGTACAAATTGATTTTTATGGTTTCCAAAACCACCAAAAATTAGTCGAAGCTTTCTCCCATTCTTCAACCTCCATACTCATACCACACATTATAGATAATCACTATTATCTTATAATATTAAATATTAAATCCAGGGAAATATCTTGTTAAATCCAGGGAACTATCTTGTTTTGGTGGCATTCCTTAAGGAAAACCACCCTCTGCAAGAATATTGGTAAAGTTCAAAGAGTTGCATCGCTACTAATTACAGGTGCGGTCAGGAGCACGCCACAATCCGCTCTAGATACCCTACTTAATTTAAAGCCGCTAGGCTTATTTGTAGAGGAACTAGCTGCTACGTGTGCCCTGCGACTCAATGAACTGGGACAATGGCGGAGTCAATCCATCGGAAACTATGTCATTCTTAAGTATGTGGAGAACGTAAGTAATCAGGCTAAAGCTAGTGACTATATACTCCCTAGGCACAGCTTTGAATTACTCGACATCCGCATACCAAACAGGCATATCTGGTCCCATGGCACTCCACCTTTTAACGGTATAGCTGTCTATACTGATGGTTCAAAGATGGAAAGTGGAACGGGGGCTGGAGTCTACTGTGAAAGCTTAAGTATCCAACGACCTTTCAGACTAAACAGCGATTGTAGTGTTTTTCAGGCAGAGATTTTTGCTGTCAGAATGGCCATAGAGCTGTTGGAAAACAGAATCAATGAACGGGACGGACCGGTGACTATATATGTCTATAGTCAAGCGGCCCTAAAAGCTCTAAATTCTTTTATAATCAAATCTATGGTTGTTCTGGAGTGCAAGATTGCGCTGGAAAAAGTAAAGTCGTTTGTCAAGCTCTGTTGGATTCCTGGACACTGCAACATTTCTGGCAATGAATCTGCCGACGAATTGGCCAGACGCGGATCTGAGTCAGTAGATCTAGAGATTAAGACCTCAGTGAAGCCACCTTTATGCCACTTCTTTCAAGTACTTCATAATCACTATCTTGGGAGATTTCAACAAAACTGGCTATCTGGAAGGGGATGTAACATCTCCAAAAAGATTTGGGCAGTGAACTCAGAAAAGAGATCACGGTCACTCACATCCATGACGAAGTTGGACCTGAAGCTTGTGGTGGGTCTAATTACTGGTCATTGCAACATAAAGGCCATGACTTCAAAATGGGGGGGTGACGACACTGAATACTGCAGGCTTTGCCAAGATGAGGAAGAAACAGAAACGGTGGAACACTTACTCTGTCACTGTCCTACCCTGATCGGAGTAAGACATAGGCTTCTACGTAAGCAAATTCTGCCCGATTTGTCATGCCTCTCCGAAACCGAGCCGGTAGTTATTCTTCAGTTAGCCAGAAGACTAAAATGGCTAAGGACGACACGCTGACTACACCGTGGATGCAAACCCACTAACTCTTTTATTTCCTATCTATTCTACTCTAACCTCCTAACTTTTTTTTCACATTCATTTCTTCTAAATTAGGATGATCACAATGGGCCAATAGGTCTCCGAGTGGAGTGGTTGTTTTTACACAACCACACATCCTTTAACCTAACCTAGCCATCTTGTTTGGATCCTAGACAAGCTAAACACGGCATGTCACCAAGCCTGATTGAATATTATTTGCAAGAGATTTTCTTAATCAAGCAGGAAACATGGTCTATTAAAAATTTTTCGTGCGACAAACAATATGATTCTTATGAATGTGGTATATTTGTACTGCAATATGCCGAAAAATACATAAAAAATCAGCCCATGAAGAATTTAGAAGAAAAAACTTATATAGAAAAGAACTTCAAATCAAAATCTTGAGATACGCAACGACAGATATATGCCTTCATTGTACTTCAACAAGAAATTCAGACGAGCAATGTCTTCAATGTTTAAAAAAAAATTGCGGAAATTGTATGAAGAGTATTTATTCGAATAAAATATATATTAGTTTTCTTTGCAAGTTATGTACCGCTAAAAAAGGAATAACGTTCTCAGGCATCTACGGATTTAATATTCTACTTAACTGCCAAATATTTATGCGGAAATTGATAATTTTTGATATTTTTAAGGATTACATTTTTGAAATGCCGGAGTATTTTACAACATGCCCTTTGTATAATTTAATTGGAATTATGTTAAACTTTTTTGAAAAATTACCTAACAGACATAAAGTCATTATATACAGATTTAAGCTATTTATATTTAAGAAACAAGTACAACTTGTTAAGAAAAAAAAGCCAACTTATTTTAAAATGGAAATCCGAAATAGCTAAATATTTTTATAGTATTACTGAATCGAAGAGCAAGTATGTGATAAAAATTGTTATGATCAAAATATGGATTAGAAATTCAAACAACTTATACTACCTTTTTGTTGGATTAAAAATCTAAAAGGCATAGAATCCTTTTTATTAGTTTAAATTATTTATAAAAACATATTTATATGAAACTGCTTTAAAAATAAAATAATAAAAATACTGTTCCTATTTATTTGTTGTTTTTATATGTAGAATTTGCAAGTCAATATAAATGTATAAATCATGGTACAATAAGGAGGAAGAACAGCTTCTTAAAGCTATAGAAGTACATCCTTGAGGCTATGTCCACTTCCTGTCAAATTTCCATGCAACAAGTTGTTTTCACTTATTCAAAAATTTTCTTCATTTTTAAATCACTAAAACAGCGGGAAAATGAATTGAATGGTTGCATTTTCTTTAAAAGTTCATGGCAAAACTGGCGAATAGCTTTAATGTGCGTCTCGCAATGTACACGTCTTCCAAACATTGATTTTGAAAATATTCTGTTTTCAAAGCCCCAGAAAATCTCCTCAATACCGTTTTAAATTATTTTCCAAAGGGCTAACAATAAAAGTATTTTTTAGTATTCTCCCAGGGTTTCTATTAAGGTAGTTTTTTAATTTTTTTTTTTTTCAACAATTTCCAATAAAAGTTCTTTTTGCAAAAATATTTTCTCAAGGATGGCCCATTAACGTGAATTTTGTAAAAATATTTTCTCATTGACTTTTTGATTTTCCATACATTGTTGTTGTTTTTACCTCATTGAATTCTTTGACCATTAAGTGTCATATCAAATAATTTTTTACGAAAAAAAGACTCAAAAAGTGCCTTATAATGAACGGATGACATCGGCTGCTGCTGTTATTAAAGTTTCCAGGAGACAAGGACCAATGTTTCAGACAATAATGAAGACAACGAAGTTACAACGTCCTTTGGCTACTTTGTGGCAGTAACTTTTGCAACGCGAAGTTGAAGTGTGGAGAGATATTAAAAAGTTGTAAATGGAAAAAAATGCGATGCAAGTTTGTAAGAGGAGAAATGTGGATGTTACAGAAACCTACAAATAAATTTGGATTTTATTAATATTTTTTAAAGGATAGAACTCACCAACGTGGTATTTTTAAAGGATAATTGCCTGCTTATAAATCTGGATCTTTTTAATACATAAAATTACTAAAGCCGACCAAAAAACTTGGAGTTTTTGAAGAATTTTGAAAGGAAATCAGACTGCTAATAAGCGATTTTTAAGGAATTTTTAAAGGATGAATAAACTTAAGGTACGGTCACACTGGGCAAATATTTGATCGAAATTTGTTTTCCCATATTTGACTGAACAAATGTGAAATTCATACAGAGTTGATTCGATGTTCACATTACAGTCAAATATTTGACAGATTTTGTTTGATCAAACAGACACCAAATAACGTCAAATAGTGCTATGGGGAAACATGTTTGACACATGTTCACATTCGTAAAATATATTTTCCCAATAAATTGTTTGATCAAACTGTGAGGAAACAAAAATTTATTTGGCCGAGAGAAATGACAGAGAGAGTGAAAGAGAGACATAAAGATAATGGAGTTTCGGGTATAATTTATTTGGAGAAGGGAAGCAAATGACCAGCTGTTGTGGAATAAATTCCTTGTCAGAACATTTTTTTGCATTTTTGTATGTTTGTATCACGGTAGAAGAATACTGGTTGTCGCATCGACATAGCTGCTGGGACAATGAACTGACAAAACAATAATGAATGAAATATTATTGATATTTGTAAAAATTGTTGAAAAATACATATCATTGCGTAAAAGAAAACATAGAAAAATTTTCTTATTTTTGTCAAAACATTTCAAAATGTTTGACATATCAATGTTTCAAGCGTTGATGCATCCACCTATATCCTATTCCTGAACCTGCAATAATCTACTAGTTTGTCAATTTCTTCGATATAATAAAGGGAAAATCGGTAATCGTAGTAAAAACTTTTACATCTTGCAGTTCTGGAACAGACCATATATTAAATTTTTACTAAACATTCAAATTCAGTTAATTCAAAAATATCAAATAAACAATACCAACTATTGTATTCGTTTGCTTTTCTATTCATTAAACATCATGTTACAAATGCTCCTGTTCTTAAAGCAAAATGCTGCCCAATGTTTTAAACTGATATTTTTCCTTGTTTGACCTTACAAAACATTTGCACCGTCAAATAAATGTTTGACCAAAAAAGAGGAAAATAATTGATCATAGGAGTTCACAGTTTAGTACCATTTAGTACACATTTCCGTAACAATCTGTATCACTTAATCCAATATATATCTCACAGCTCTATCGGTTTACCAAAACCCAAATTGTACCAAATTTAGTACTATTTAGTACACTTAAGTACGAATCTCCAAAGCCTCTTACATACAGCAATCCCTCAGTAATCCCAATTCAAAATTTCAGGATTCAACCCCTATCGATTCACTCAAATACAAATTACAACAAATTTAGTACATTGCAGTACACATAACTAGGAATTTCCAAAATTTACTACATATTCCAATCCTGCAATACAACAGGTCATGATTCCAACTCTATTGGTTTTGTCAAATATTAAATTGCATCGAATTTAGTACACATAAGTATGAATTTCAAAAACAGCCTACAAACCTCAGTGCAATAGCTACCTTTTTTCCAAATTTTAGCAGTCCAACTCTATCGGTTCATCCAAATCGAAATTTTGCCAAATATAATAACATTTAGTACTTTTCGTGCACATAAGTACACATTTTGAAGGCTTAACTCTAATTTAGTAAAATCTCTTAAATTTTTTCGAAATTGTTCTCAGAGGTAGGTATTTTTACCCTGATTCTGGAAAACTATTTTTTCATGGGGGAAGAGACCCGGGACCCCAGATTTTTGACCCCAAAGTCCGGGTTCAAGACCCCGACTAGACGCGGATCCAATTAGCCGATATAGACATCGTTGGCTTACCATTTACCACATCATGTGATCAGCTGTTGGATAGGTATTTTCATAAGCTTTCCAATGAACGCGGATTTTCGGGTCAAAAATCTGGGGTCCCGGATCCGTCCCCCAAGAAAAAAAAAGTTTCCCAGAATCGGGTTAAAAATACCTACCTCTGAGAACAATTTCGAAAAAATCGAAGAGTTTTTACTAAACTAGAGTTGTTCCAATTCGAATACTACCTCCTCAGTAATATTATAGGACTAAGGGATTTTTGACACTACCACTCATGTTGGAATTGTGCCCGCTCTCCCTTCCGTCTGGACTTGTGAAGTTTTACGTCTGATCATCGTCATGTGAACATTTAAACCCGGCAAAGGTTCCTCCAGACGGGGGTATTTGCCTGAATTTAGCGGCTATCTGAAAAGAGAGAATAAACTTTACCCTTAACTAATTGCAGATTGATTGCAAATTAAAATTTACCTGTTTGGGATGTTGCCAAACCACCCAAATGTTTGGGACTGATTTACGCAGTGCTACCACAACACAAATACCAAATGACTGATATGATATTTGTGTATACTACCACAAATTTGTTGCGGGCGCCACAAACCCGCGATACGGCCATGCTGCGAAAAAAAATTTGCGTGGAGCTTCGCTTAGTGTGGCATTTTTTTCCACCGTGGATGCCACAATAACCACCTTAAAAAATATCAATTTCCAAAATAAACCATAGGGGAACCTGGGTGCATTGTTGTGGAGGGATAGATCTTCTCCCACCCAAGTTTCCCAATCCCTCGTTGCGATGCCGCCAGCGCTAAATTTTTGCCAAGAATATTAAAGCTGGAAGTGCGTCGTTATTTTACGGTTTTCATTGCTGAAAACCAAACCCATATGTAATCAACCTGCAAAAGAAAAGAAAATTATATTAGTAATCGGCCCAATTACGGTTGTCGTTACTAAAGTCGTCGTCGACTTTATGTCCGAGTCGCCCTCGCCGTCGCTTCGATTCAAAAATGGTATTATGGTAATGCATAGAAGCGACATCGACAGTTTAAAATAAAAGTTGGCAACAATTTAAAAAACGTTGGCAACACTCCCTTGTTATTGACAAAAAAAGATAATTTTGTTTTGTATTTTGACTCTTTCGGAAAAATAAAAAATATGGTGAAAAAAATGAAGATTATAAATGCGTTACATATCTTAAGTTCAAGTGAGGATGAAGAGAAGAATGTATTAAGGTACGGTCACACTGGGCAAATATTTGATCGAAATTTATTTGACTGAACAAATGTGAAATTCATACAGAGTTGATTCGATGTTCACATTACAGTCAAATATTTGACAGATTTTGTTTGTTCAAGCAGTCACCAAACAGCGTCAAATAGTGCTATGGGAAAACATGTTTGACACATGTTCACATTCATAAAATATATTTTCCCCATGAAATTGTTTGATCAAACTCTGAGGAAACATAAGTTTATTTGGCCGAAAGAAATAGACAGAGAGAGTGAAAGAGAGACATAAATAAAATAGAGTTTCGGGTGTAATTTATTTTGGAGAAGGGAAACAAAAGACCGGCTGTTGTGAAATAAATGCCTTGCCAGAACAACTTTTTTTTGCAATTTTTGTATGTTTATATGCACGCGTATGTATGTGGTATGTATATGTATATCATGGTGCATAAAATTCTTAGTAGAGTAGTATGCTGTTGTGTTCAATTATTTGGGCTGTTCCAGAACCTGCAAGAATCGATTAGTTTTGCAATTTTCTTCGATATCATAAAGGCAAAATCGGTTGTCGTAGTAAAAACATTTACATTCATGCAGTTCTGGAACAACCATATATAAATATATATAGATATAGAAAATTATTTTGAAAAGAAATCTTGACCTACTACTCACTTTGGTGGGCTTTGTTAATTAATTCAAAAATACCAAACAAACAAAACTACTTATTGCATTCGTTTGTCATTATATTCATTAAACATCATGTTACAAATGCTTCTGTTCTTAAAGAAAAATGGTGAGACAATGTTTTAAACCGATATTTTTCCTTGTTTGACCTTACAAAACATTTGCAACGTCAAATAAATGTTTGACGAAAAATGAGGAAAATAATTGATCATATGTGTTCACATTATGGACACACTGGTCAAATTTTTGTTTCCTGGCAAATAATTTTGTTTTCCCAAAATCAGCTGTTTTTGTATTTGCCGTCAAATAATATTTGTTGGTCAGATTGTGACAAAGAAATATTTGACATTTTTCGTCAAATATTTGCCCAATGTGACCTTACCTTTAGTAGTGCAGCGGTGAGTGTTAAGGCAAACAACAAACATATTTGCATTGCCTGGCTCTTGATTGTGTTGTTCCAAAAGTTTATGCCGCTCTTTCAAGAGTTCAATAGTTTCTACTTTCCTTGATGACTTTTTACCATTGTTTTTTCCGGGCGATCGAGAAGCTTCAATAGTAGGTTACATCAGTCTCGTCATTAGCATTGTCCACTTGCTCATTTTCATGAACTAATAGACGTTATTACCCTTATGTTTTCCTTATTTTCTATTCCAAGTGCACCTGGTGGATTCAGTAACTTTTGAAACTGCATTATATTAGCGACAGACTCATCCAATGGCGACAAAATTTTTTTGCTTAAAAATGCCACCTCCAGTGCTGCTGGTTTCATCTTTGTTGTGCACAAGTTTCTTTTTAGTTTTAAATTTTTCCAAACCTGGAAGAATTTTAGAAAACCAACTAATAAAAACATAAAAAATAATTTTAATTTTTACATACTTTTTGCCAGCCATCGGAGTCTCTAATTGGAGGCCCGTTTATATTTAATTTTGTAGCAATAGATTCCCAATCAGATTTAAAATTAGCTGGAACATGACCTTTGGTAAACCCTGTTGCCAAACATGGATTTTTTTCCAATTAGGAAACTAAAATTTCAAATTGTTTTGCTGTTGTTATTTTCATGGCCAAATATCAAATACAAAATGCATACAATATCAACGTCGACTAAAAAACACTAGAGGTGTGTCTGGTTACCCTAAAATTTGTAACAATTGTTACAAATTGTTACTGGAAGTCGTCTGTTAACCCGAAAGTTCTGCAAAAGAGAGCGGTTGGAGAGAGAAATTTTGACAGTTCATTCATTGAGAGTTTGCAAATTCTTGCTGGACAAATTTCTTCTTGCAACTCTTCTTCTTCTCATTCATCGACATTCAATCAGATGTTTTCTATTGTTTGCTTATTTAATTTTATGCTTTCAATTTGAAAAAATGTTTTGGGAATTAGCAAGACTAATTGTTTTTGGAGAATAACTTTACAAAATGTGAAAAACATAAAAATTTGTTGCTAATTTCCTTTTTATTTATAAAACTTGTAAAATTGGTGGTGCTTCCTTTCTTTTAATTCTTTTAATGGGGACAAATTGGTTTGTTTTGACAAATCAGCTGATTATTTGCAAGTTTCCGCAGGAATACCGTCTGTTTACTTTTCGAATTTTCCTTGCAAAAGAGAATAAAACTACCTTAATCTCTCAGAAAGAAGTTGCTGAACAATTCCTGCTGGAAAAGTAACCAGACACACCTTATGTCGTCGCAATTTTTTACGGCGACAGATATTCTCAAAAATCGACTTCACGTCGACTGTTGTATCGACAATGATAATGGCAACCATTTGTCGCTATCGACAAAAAACGACAACCCTAATATCATTATTGTCGCCTTGACTTAATTTTGCGACGCCGACGATAACCGTAATAGGGCCGAATGGGAAATAGATGTCGGAAATATATACAAATTAAAATCTAAAAAAATTCTTAGCCAATTGCATGTGAGTATGCGCTAGTATGTTAGAGAAACTAGGGTAGGGAGTTAGAGGCAGAAAATTTATTTAAACATACGACATAGTAGAGAGTCGGTCGTATAACGTAAAGACATACGCTGGGTGAGACGTTGAGGAAAAACCAATGGAATATGAGAAAATTGGAAAAATTGTTCTATTAAAAAACTGACTTGGAGAACATTTTATATGCCAAAATACTCGTAAGGGTTCCCACTTTCATGTGGCATTCACAGTTTTTTGGACGTTTTTATATGGAGGCTTCCAGTGGAATATGAGAAAATTGGAAATTTTGTTCTACCAAAAACTGACTTGGAGAACATTTTATATGCCAAAATACTCGTAAAGGCTCTCACTTTTATGTGGCATTCACAGTTTTTTGGACGTTTTTATATGGAGGCTTCCAGAGCCAGATTCCCGTCCTGACCACCAGTGGAATATGAGAAAATTGGAAAATTTGTTCTACCAAAAACTGACTTGGAGAACATTTTATATGCCAAAATACTCGTAAGGGCTCCCACTTTAATTTGGCATTCACATTTTTTTGGACGTTTTTATATGGAGGCTTCCAGAGCCAGATTCCCGTCCTGACCACCAGTGGAATATGAGAAAATTGGAAATTTTGTTCTACCAAAAACTGACTTGGGAAACATTTTATATGCAAAAATACTCGTAAGGGCTCCCTCTTTCATTTGGCATTCACAGTTTTTTGGACGTTTTTATATGGAGGCTTCCAGAGCCAGATTCCCGTCCTGACCACCAGTGGAATATGAGAAAATTGGAAATTTTGTTCTACCAAAAACTGACTTGGAGAACATTTTATATGCCAAAATTCTCGTAAGGGCTCCCACTTTCATTTGGCATTCACAGTTTTTTGGACGTTTTTATATGGAGGCTTCCAGAGCCAGATTCCCGTCCTGGCCACCAGTGGAATATGAGAAAATTGGAAATTTTGTTCTACCAAAAACTGACTTAGAGAACATTTTATATGCAAAAATACTCGTAAGGGCTCTCACTTTCATGTGGCATTCACAGTTTTTTGGACGTTTTTATATGGAGGCTTCCAGAGCCAGATTCCCGTCCTGGCCACCAGTGGAATATGAGAAAATTGGAAATTTTGTTCTACCAAAAACTGACTTGGGAAACATTTTATATGCAAAAATACTCGTAAGGGCTCCCTCTTTCATTTGGCATTCACAGTTTTTTGGACGTTTTTATATGGAGGCTTCCAGAGGCAGATTTCCGTCCTGACCACCAGTGAAATATCAGAATTTGAAAATGTTGTTGTATCATAAACTGATTTGCGATGTTATGTATGGAATTAATAACTGGGGTATGAGAATTCATTATGGAACAAAATGTGTTTATTTCATGGACTTTTTCATTCATACGTTGCTAACTATCGATAACATCGAATTTCACCAAAACTACAGGGTGACCCAGAACATCGAAATTTCACATTTAATACTTTTATTCAACTGTGCGTAAGAGAAGAAACCTGGAACCGATTTGAAAACAAATTTAATTTATAAAATTATGAATGAAAAAGTCCATGAAATAAACAAATTTTGTTCGATAATGAATTCTCATACACCGGTTATTAATTCCATACATAACAACAACAACATTTTCAAATTCTGATATTCCATTGGTGGTCAGGACGGGAATCTGGCTCAGGAAGCCTCCATAAAAAAACGGCCAAAAAACTGTGACTGCCAAATGACAGTGGGAGGCCTCAGGAGTATTTTGGCATATAAAATGTTCTCCAAGTCAGTTTTTTGTAGAACAAATTTTCCAATTTTCTGATATTCCACTAGTGGTCAGGACGTGAATATGGCTCTATAATTATAGATCATCTGTAATGGGTAAAGCTTCGCGAAACAAAAAATATCATGTGTTTTTTGAAAAAATATAAATTAAATTTAGAACGAGTGTATTCATGGTACAATGAAGTAGGTAAAGTCATGCAATCATATGTTTACAAGTTTTTCAAAATGTTTTATTTGACATTTTATTGTCAAAATGTATATAGTAAATCAGGGTTTAAAAGCCAGCACTTAATGAAATTAGCCCTAGCCAGCAATTTCTTTCTAAGAGGGTGAGTGTGAAAAGTAAACAGACGGAATCCCTGCAAACTTGCAAACAATCAGCAGATTTCTCAAAACAAAAAAGTTTGTCTGCAAATAAAAGAAATTAAGAACACAGAAATTAAAACGGAATCGAAAAAAAAACAAAACAACAGTGCTTGCGTTTTTTAAAATAAATTAATAAATAGAAGCAGAAGAAGAGTTGCAAGAAGAAATTTGTCCAGCAAGAATTTGCAAACTCTCAGTGAAAGAACTGTCAAAATTGCTCTCTCAAATCGATCTATTTGGAGATATATTGTGTTAACAGACGACTTTCAGTAACAATTTGCAACGATTGTTACAAATTTTAGGGTAACCAGACACACCTATTTTTGTTTAGCCCTAACAAACAAAAAATTCAGTACACAAAATAATCAATAGCTCTGATTTCGGGTGCTGCTATTTTAGTTTCAGCCGAAAACATATTTCTATGGTTGTGTGTTGTCAACGTACGTAACACGTACATATTTATTTGAACTCAACAGCTAATCGAAGTTTATTTTTGAAATTTAACTTGTCAATATGTTCATCTGAAATAATATCGTATACATTGAAAATAGGCATTAACTGAACGGCTTCAACAATATTTACGCATTGTCTATATATGAATATATCAAATCTATAAAATCGCGTTTTTTTATCGCATTTCATACGATGTGAAATTGTTATAAGCAACACTGAACTCAAAAAATGAATATTTGTTTTTGTTTGGCTAAAATGAAACTAAGTAGTAGAAGCCGTCCAGCTTTTTGGGTGTTGAGCTGTTTTTATGTAAGGGCGAATTTAATTTAAGCTTCAGCCGCTCACTGCTATTTTGTTTTAGCTGACGATTTCAAGTAGCATTAGCTCTCTCGGCTAATATTTTTGGAATGTGTGGCTATTTGTAGGCGTAGCTCATTGAGGGGCAACCCTTGAAAAATTTTTAGCAGCACGGCTGAATATTTCCGATGCTATTGCCAATTTGGGGTTAGCATTTTAAACCCTGTTGTAAGTTCATTATACATACACAAATCAGATATAGGAATCTGTTATCTATGCAGTAAAATTTAACAAGGTAAATTACGGAAAATGCAGGGATGGATATGCTTATAAGAAATAACTTCTTAATTTTATAGCATGTTTCCGTTGGAAACCGAACAACGTTGTTCGCTCTCAGAATTAGTTACACGAATTAACCCGTTCATACGGCTCGATTCGTAATTCATAGTAAAATAATTCTTTTTTTCAAAATTTAGTTTTTTGATTTTAATGGGAATTTATACTAAAATACATTAAATTCTCACTAATATGAATAGAAGAAATTATTATTTTTCTCCCAAAGATTTATTATAACATTAATTTTATAATTTTCATTCACGTCTCCAACTTTTTGTGTAAATGTTGACATTTTGAACATATTTTTGTATTTTTTTATTTTTAAATTCTGCTGGAGAGACACTTGTCAAACATTTTTTCTGCCGATACAAACATTTTGAAAATATTCCCTCTTTTGTTTCCTGTTTTCTGTGGTAATTTCAACTCGTGGACAAAATGCGTACCTCGGATAAGAGAGGAAACAAAATTTACTTTCGTTTGAATGTACATACGCTATTCTACATTGTAGTTTTCATTCATAAATTTCAGTCTTCCCAAATTTTTTCAAAATTTCATTAAATTTTTCTATTTTCAATTTTTAAATGTCATAATTAATTTTTTCGATAAATGCTCTCATTTGTTACGGATGGGACATATTTTTTCGTTGTTCTGAGAGTGATTTGATTTGAACAATGTACAAATATGAGTGTTCGCTTAGGAAATATTGTGTGAAGAATTAAGTAGTTTTTTCATAGTTAAGGGTCAAACAACGAATAGAGAGCGAATCCAATGCAGTGGAAACGCCACATTACCATGAGTGTGTTGTGGGGGTTCTTAAATATTTTGACTTTAAGATGAAAATTTGTACTCACTTCAAATATAATTTTGAGCTTAAAAAATCAAAGGAAATCCAAGACTATACCCTGATAAAAATTCACGATCGACGTTCGAATTATTCTTTAAATATCAACGATTTGAGAACCGGAAATATTTTTTAAAATTCCTGCATTGAAGCGCATATCTTAAAGCAGTCTAGATTTCACTTCTATGAAATGAACATGTAGTAAAAATCTATTAAATTCCACTATTTTGTATAAATCCATAAATTGGGACTGATGACTGCAAAAAAACAGGGCAGGGTACGTTCAAAAAAATCCACCGTTTGTTGCTGATATTTTTGATTTGTATCTTCTGTGTATGGGTCTCTTGTTTTATTTTCGTCATGATATCAAGGTGGGGCAGAACTACCATATGATTTTAATTTTTTTTATTTTCTTGGCTTAATATGTCACCTTTATTTGTTTATGTATGTGTTTTCTTTTCAATAACAAAAAAACTGTTCAGCAAACATTCAAATTCGGGTGTTTTCAAAATGTTTATTTCAACGTATGCATCGACAAAATCTAGAGTTTTTGTAGCGAAATAATCCTTTAGAGATATATAGTACATGATTTTGAAAAGAAGTGTTGACATTTCATTCAATTATCGCGGTTTTCAATTATTTATTCAAAATAAATGCAACAAGTTGTTTGATTTTTTATTGTTTTGATACTAATTCTGACATTACACGCCAAACAGGTAGACCTCTATACTTGCAATTTTTTCAAAGTTGACCTACCTTCTCTTCATTGTACCATGATTGAATCTATTCCTGCTTATATTATCAATCCGTTATATATTCAACGAGGCTCCAATAGCCAACTCGTTGTTTTATGTCCATTACAGGAACACAACATTTCCAGGCAAAATTGTTACATTTGAAACTTCAGGAAAAAAGGAAAAACAAGTAATGGGCGCCATACTGAAACGTGGAACTATTTAGATAATTCTCTTCTATGGGTAAAGTATTCAGAAGGAACCCCTTGTGTGGATTTTAAGACAATTCCATTAAAAAAATGGTCTGAAATCAATATCGTGGACCTATATAGATAATTCTCTTAAAGGGGATAAAGCACTCAAGGAACTCCTTGAGTGGATTTACAGACAGTTCCCTTGAAAAATGTGGATAAAATCATCCAAATACCGAATATCGGGTGGTACTGTTATATGGGGGATATACGATATCGTGGACCTATATAGACAGTGAACGGAATGACGAACATAAAATATAAAAACTACAAGTTTTCAATGCTTCAAAACGATTTTCAATGCTCAAACGTTTTACGGTGTTACCTAAATTCGATGTACTCGGTCCACCACATAAGTAAAACGCACTTATTTATAATAGAGTTACCCAAAAGAATCGGGCGCATAAAATTTCTAAATTAAGCATTTCAATTTTAACAATTGAACCTTTTTTCTTGTTTTGAAAATAGCATTCATTTCATTCATTTATTGAATTTAGATTTTTTTGAAAAATAATCTTATTTTGATTGGACGATAAGCATTTGCCACTGATGTTGGAGTACAGGAATTTGATTTGTTGCTATAATTGCCATAATTAGTATTGGCCAATGGCTACGGGATGACGAAGAACGGGTGGCTTTATAGTTTATATTGAAAAAGTTACACACAAAAATTAAGACGATGGAAGAACGTTGGCCTTGCCTTAAACCTATTGGAATAGTGTTCTGAAATATATCTTCAATTGAAGCAAAATATTGCAGTGATTCAGGAAAGAATATGAAAGAATATGAAAATGCACATGCAAGTCGTTCTACAAATCTAACAATGCAATGTGAAAAGAGGTCAACAGCATTCCAGTGATGATGATAAATTCCAAAAGGACTCACAAGATGAGAATAGTGCAGGAAAAATTTTAGATCAAGATTAACGCGTGCATTCTATGTCAAATGCAGGGGGAAATGTGGGGAAGGTTTCGAAATCCCCATTCCTATAAAATTAAATCAAAAATTAGAATAGAACCACCCCAATTGGTTATAGATGAATCAATATATTTAAAAAAGGCTTCGAAAGATCACAGGATGATAATAACGATGATGATGACGGGTACAGGAAGGAAATATCCAGACAATATTGTCTACTTTTGCAAATTTTAATTTTATACGATAGTCCAATTACTTAAGATGAGATTTTATTTATTTTCCATTTTTTGGAACTCATTTGGGGTAGGTACCAAAGGAAGTTGAAATATATTGACATCAAGCCCAATTAATGTATCAAATCAGAAATTCTCTTCCAGAATATGCATCGCTTAATCGCTTTGGCAATTGCAATGGGTCCAGATGTGTAGGAATTTACAATTAATGCATTTGAAGCCAAGGGAGTTGTAAATATTCAGTATTTGTTTCAAACTTTAATTTAAAAATGATTTGTTTATTTTTGTTTTTACGTTTTTCAATTTGAAACTAATTGTCAAAATGACTTTTTAGTTCCTGTAACGACAATGTTGTTCTTGTAAATTGTTAGTTGTTGCTGATGCATACACCTTATAAATACACCTTGGTATCAATTTTTACAACAGTATCATTAGGTAGATTTTAAAATAGGGACCTTGCGTATTTGGGTGAAGCGGCCATACAAAACACTTTTCATCCAGAATATTTGTGTACGCTTCGTTAAATATTAAGTGCCCCGTAAACGATCAAAATGCATTATATCAAAATCGTGTATGTGTGCATTAAGCTTTCAACGCACACTGTTCATGCATTCAGAGAAAGGAAAAGAAAGAAAAGAGAACAGTAAAAAAATAAAAGAATCTGGATGAAAGAGTGCCACAAAAAAAATCATTTACTCATGAAAATTTATTAGTTAAATAAAGAGTGTCATCGGCAAATGATTTTAAAAATTGTTTAAAAATAGATAGCTGGTTGAGTCTCTAATTAAATTTTCGGTATTTCGGCATGAATTCTCCATATTAATTTTCTTTAATAATATGATTATTATATATTTCACATTTAACATTCGAACAGTGCTGCTAAACTTCCAATAACTCCAAAACATTTTTGTTTTCTCAGTATTCCACATCTTTATGTACCCATTTGCTTTGAAAAAAACGTCACAAATGAGAATATGCATGATCTCTTCAGCGCACACACTTCAAAATCGAACGCGATGCACGAGAAAAATTAAAGATTTTTAATTTTGCTTCATGCATCGTATGTTTAACGCATGCATTTTGATCGTTTTCGGGCCACTTTAGATAACGCTGTTGCTGTAAGGATGGTAGCTGAATACAGGTATATTCATCAGCTCTTGTTAACTTTGATGTATCAAATACTTAAAAAATACTCTTTTCTCAAACGTTGTCGTTCAAAGACTGTTACTCGTTTGATTAAATGCAAATGAGAATTTAATATTTTTTTGACGGTTTATTGTACACGCAGCTGTGTTAATGCGGCTACCTATTTAAGTTATATTATCCTCGATTTATTTGCTACTTCTACTTCATTGCTATGGATATTGAAATTTCTTTTTTTACATTCGAAAAAACATTAAGAAGAGTGTATTGTAACTTCTGAATTTAATTTATGTTTGTAGGACTTTTGCAAAAACACGTCCTATTATTACAGATGATATATATTTTTGCAGCCAGATTTCCGTTCTAACCACCAGTGTATTATAAGAAAATTGTATAATTTGTTTTTCCAAAAACTGATTTGGAGAACATGTCGCACAGTATTAAAAAATGTATTAAATTTGAAATTACGATGTTCTGAGTCACCCTTTAGTTATAGGTATAGCCGACTGCTACTTTCAGAACTTTGAGTAGTAAATGTCGACTAATCGCAAGTCGACTTACCTATCCCTAAATATTTCGAGGTTATTGCGTTAGGTGGTTCAGAGACGTAACTAAAATCTAAGCGCTCTAATAAGGATGTCAAACAGTCACCTATTCTTAAAGTCTTGTTTCCCTCGAGCTCCTCTCAACAATGGAATTGGACGATACGTATGCCAACTACAGAGAGTTACTTTAAAGTTTTGTAAAAATAATGGGTCCAGCAAGGGAATGAGGTAATGAAACAGTCTTCGGCAGCATTCGTTTGATATTAATTAGTATAATTTAAATAGAGAATTCATTGAAAATAATCTTGTGGACTTCGCTAAGGAAAATCCAGGCGTAGTGGTCTATGTAAAACCCAGACGACATCGCACTCCTGTATTGGTTGGAGAGTATTGTAAGTTAAATAATGTAGTAGCATACGGTTAAAATTTATTAATAGAAAACTCTTTTTTTGTTAGTAAATGGGGGTCGGGAATGGCTGAATTGTCGCAATTCTACGAAAGAAGATATACTGAAATGGATTGAATTACTAAAAACACAAAATGGACCATCTAGTACCATGCGATTGCGTAAAATGTGGCATACAGACGTTCCTTCTATTCAGGGTGCTTGGACACCATTTATGCTGCGTAGTCCGGAAATGAACTTAGTAACTTTTCCCTCTGAAGAATACTCAACGCCTTTGGATATTGAACAGTCTGCTACAGAGAAGTTATTAGAATTATATAAAGAGGAAAAGCAAACTTAATGTCAGGCAACACGGTCGACATGTTGAACATTAGGAATGGGTTTGTGTTCTAATAACACTTTTCTCCCTGATTTTCTCTGTCGTCGTTAATTATCTTCTTGATAAGACACATGTAGAGATAACCTATGAAAAATAAAAATGCATGCACCAAGTTATTCTCTATTATTGTAAAAACTTAAATTGCCAGGACTATTTCAATAGCTTAGCTGTTTTTGTGGCAGCCCCACTGTTACAGAACAAACTGAGGCAACAGTTCTTAACCGAGTAAAAAGTGGGTCATCCCATACCGTAAAGATTACTGCCACAGAAACGTCGTTGATATTACAGATTATCGGCTTTATTACATATTTACTGTGTGTTGTCAATATAGGATGAACAAAGTCATTTTGTATGGTTCTAAAAAAGGCATGAGTATAAGGTCATCAGCTACTATAACATTGTACGATAACAATATAACATTTTAAAATTACAATATGACAAAAAAAAAAAAAAAAAACAAATAATAAAACTTTCCTTTGTAAGATATGTTTCTTATGTTTGTTTGTAGCTTAGCCGCTGTTATTAATGTAGTGTTTATACGCCTGCCTTAAAATCTCATTCTGAGGAAACTGCAACTCTAATCTAATATCTGCCCTGCAAAATAAAAAAATATAACATCTGAAACAAAGCAGTCTAGGGTCTTGACGAGGAGCTTCATATGGACGCATTATTTCGGGAAGTTCAACCAAAATGTATTAAAAGAAATGTTCGTCAAAGTCACATAACTTACGGATTAGATTTATGCGACCAGCTAAGGACATAGCAACCGTAACAGCTCGATTTATGTGTCCAGCCACATGACTGGTACATTTATATTTGTCATTCTAAATATCGTTTTTTGTACTTTTTTACTTTAGTTGTAATCATGGTACAATAAAATCAAGGTAAGGCTATAATGCCATATTTTAATTTTTTTTATTTACTTGGCTTAATATGTCAACTTTTTTGTTTATGTGTATGTACTCTTTTCAATAATAAAAAAATGTTCAGAAAAATTCAAATTCGAGTGTTTTCAAAAAGCGTATTGCAAGGTATGCACCTACAAAATCTACTGTTTACAATCCCACGGCGGCCGGTTCTATGTACCGGATTGACTCGGAGGCATATTTCTCCGACCAGGGGTCGCCAACCCAGCAAATACATGTTCGTGTTCGTCCATTTTTCTGATGTGGGAGCAACATTACCCGGAATGTTTGCTCCGTATTCTCTTGGTCCGAGCCAGGATCGAGACCAACCCCGGACCATGGTTCTGCTCCTTTTGTCGTAATCGCATCCATAACAGGTCGGTTTCGGTGAGATGCAACGGATGCATGGAGTGGGTGCATTTCCGAAATTGTTCCGGCCTAAACCGGATACAGGAGTATAGCGATAGGTACTACATTGCTTCCTGCTGCGCCAATGTAGACCCCAGTGAGTCTTCATCTTCGGCGTCCTCATCGTCGTCGCAATTTGAGACTCCCCCGCAATCTCCGCAACAGCAATCTACGCAGCAGTTTACGCCCCACATTGCTGTTCAAGGTTCCGGATAATGCATCATTTCTCCAATTTAATTGTGATGGTCTCAGAGGTAAGATCAACGAAATTGTAAGCTTTATGAGTTGGAAGAACATAAAGGTCGCAGCGATCCAGGAAACGAAGCTGAGTACCACCTGCAGGCTTCAAAGTTGTGATGGATACAACGTACTGAGGAAGGATCGCTCCAGAGGTGGAGGATTAGCGTTCCTATTGCACCACTCTGTCCAGTACAGACCTATCTCGCCTGAGCTTGACTCTAGTGACCCGTACATGGAATGTATGGGGGTAGCGGTCAAGTGTGGAACCGCCGTATAATAGCTGTGCCCCACGTTATATGCCTAATATCAGTTCACTACTGGTAGGCAATAACCGTCTAGGGGATTTCAATGCCCATCATGAATTATGGCATTCCGTCCTAGGTAATGACCAGAGAGGCATGGCGCTGGCTGAGCAAATTGATAGCTCTACGTTTTGCACAGTGAATGAGGACGCGCCCACCAGAATAAGGGGAGACTGCCACAGTTCTTCGGACATATCCATCGTGTCCCCAGGTCTGACGAATGACGTAACTTGGCAATCAGTCATTTATCTAGGCTCAGACCACCTCCCCATTATTATCGCCATCAACAGACCACCCGACTTCATTGACTCTGAACGCCGCACTTTCCTTAACCACGGGAAAGCTAATTGGCAAGAATTCAGAGAGTATACCAATCGCCGCTTCAGAGAACTGAACCCAACCCATCTGATGTTCAGGTAGCGGATAGGTGTTTCCGGGACATCATCAAAGCTGCAGCCGTTCGCTATATACCTGCTGGTCGAATACCTAAAATAAGACCAAATTTCCCAGCAGAGGCAGCGGGATTAGCAAACGAGCGAGATGAGCTTCGCCGTACTAACCCTTACTCTGGAGGTAAACAGGTTAGTAGGTGAGCATAAGCGGAAAAAGTGGTTAGAACATCTGAAGCATTGCAACATCGGTACCGGAACGAGTAATTTGTGGGCAACGGTTAAGTCGCTCTCGAACGCTGGGAAAAAGGACGATCGGACATCTGTCTCATTCAACGGCGTAGAATTGACAGATCCGAAGAGGTGCACGTGTTATTTTAACCGGCAGTTTGTAGAGCACCCCGAGAGTGACAGGGCGAAGAGAAGGATCCTACGCCGTGTACGATCCCTTCCAGCCGAGGAGGTACCACCACAATTTAGGTTGGCAGATGTTCCACAGGTCATCAGAAGCGCAAAGTCATCCAAAGCGCTTGGTCCTGACGGAATCTCAATGGTGATGTTGAAGCAACTGGATGAACCAGGAGTTGAGTATCTTACAAAGCTTCTCAATCTGTCGTTAGCCACCCTAGTAGTTCCCGATGCCTGGAAAATGGGCAGGGTGGTCCCGCTACTGAAGCCAGGCAAGGATGCCAGCAAAAGTGATTCATACAGGCCGATATCACTTTTGCCACCAGTAGAAAAGACGCTTGAGGCTTTACTCCTCCCCAGCATAAGAGAGTGTTTCCCAGTAGCCGATCATCAACACGGATTCCGGAAATTGCATAGCACAACAACAGCTTTACACGCCATTTCCACACATGTCAGTAGAGGTCTCAACCAGAACAGGCCGTGCGATAGAACAGTTATGGTGGCACTTGATTTATCAAAAGCCTTTGATACAGTCAATCGCGCCACACTGTTCGAGGACATTGAGCGCACCGCCCTCCGGCCAAGTTTGAAACGTTGGATAGTTAACTACATGTGTGGACGCTAGTCGTACATGAAATTAAGAATTCCGAGTTGAACAGGGAGTTCCTCAAGGTGGGGTGATATCTCCGGAACTGTTTAACCTTTACCTTTCTGACATTCCACGCCCTCCAGACGGCATAGAGATTATAACGTACGCAGACGATTGTACGCTCGTGACCTCCGGACCCATTATTGATAGCATTTGCGATCGGTTAAACGCTTACCTTGTTGATCTTACTGCCTTTTTTACTAGAGGAATATGAAGATATCCGCCACTAAGTCGACGGCCACACTTTTTACCACATGGACTGCGGAGATGGGGCTATCCTTGAATGTGCAGGTCGATGGTGCTATAATTCCGACCACCAACTACCCCAAGGTATTAGGGGTCACATTCGATAGCCTCTTTAAGTCGTCCGCGCATACCACAGCTATCTGCGACAAGATTAGAATTAGGAACAAGGTCCTCAAGTCTCTGGCTGGTAGTACTTGGGGAGCTGATAAGAAAACCTTGTTGACCTCTTACAATAGGCCGGTCAGTGGTAAACTATGCGGCTCCGGTGTGGTCCGCCAACGTCAGTGCTACGCAGTGGAAAAATGTGCAGTCCTGAAAGAATTCCGCCCATAGAACCGCAACAGGGTGCCTTCTCATGACACCTGTCGATCACCTACATGAGGAGGCGAAGGTCTTACCGGTGCGACAGCATAACAAAATGCTGTCAATGCAATACCTGCTTGGGTGTTATAGACAAAGCCATCCAAATCACCATCTTGTGGATAGGCAACCTCCGCCCAGGCACGTTAGGAAAGACCTTCATGATCTAGAGAAAAAGGTACAGAGGTATAAGAGAGAGCCTCTAGATCAACGGGCCTATCAAGCGGGACTGAATATTTTCACTCTAATGCGGTCTCAGAAGCCATTGAAGGATATAGAGTGAATACTGTGCTAGGAGACCATCCCCCTCCCGTCGCAGCTGAAGAACGAGAGCTGCCCCGACAAACCCGAGTAGTCTTGGCCCAATTACGATCCGGATGGTGCAGCCGCCTAAATTCCTACTGGGCCCGGATTAACGGCGACGTGCAGAACATCTGCCCAGCATGTGACACAGGCCCACATGACACGCTGCACCTATTTCGCTGCCCAGCCAAGCCTACTCACCTAACTCCAGTCTCGTTATGGACACAACCCATACAGGTTGCACCCTTTTTGAGACTGGACTTAGAGGCAGAACCTGATAGAACTGAGTCAGAAAATGGAAAAGAACGAACACGGATGTATGAGCTGCTACAACAACAACAGTTTTTGTAGCGAAGTAAACCATAAATAATATATAGAACATGATTTTGAAAATAAATTTTGACCTTTCATTCGGTTTTCTCATTTTTCAATTATTTCTTTAATATCAATGCAACATGTTGTTTTTTTTACGGTTTTTATAGTAGTTCTGATATTATAAGCGAAATAGGTGGACCTCTATACATGCATTTTTTTAAGTTAGCATACCGCACATTTCCGCACAATCCCACACCACTTACCTCTCTTTTATTCCCTCCTTAACAACTCTTTAACATATCCTCATTTTTTTCTTTAAACATACATTAAGTCATTTTATTATAAGTAATGTTAAAACTAATATTGAAAAAACTAACACAAAAGTGTATAAATAAAATTGTATAAAAATATAAATTAAACTATAATAATAAAAAATAGCTCGTTCAAAGAAATTAGTATAGTATATATAAGGATGGCAGTTTAATAAGTATTTCTTTTTTCTTTTAGATTTTTTTTTTAAACGAGCGGTCTTTTGACAATATTCCTTTGGACAAACATTAAGGACAATAAGGATCACACCACAAAAT